CGCCAAGGGCGTATGCTCTGTCGAGGTGTGAGGCGCCTGCGCCCAGGAGGGGAGGGCGCATGCGTAACGACGCTGCTAGAGATGCCTTTCGGGGCCCAGAGATAAAACTTCTGATGCCGCTATGGGCGTGTCCAGAGCCAGGTGTGGTGTGGACGCGAGAATAGCTCCGCCATTCATGGAGGCAACCGATGCGAGTCAAGAATACTCACTCACATACTCACATTGCGCCTTTCATAACAGGGGAGTTGTAGTCCATCAGCCCCGACCGGCAGCACGCTGTTGGTCGGTTCGAGAGGTGGCCTCCGCCAGAGGTCTGCGTGGGCGCCTCTCCACCGCCTCCCTCCTTTGCCCCGAGCGTCGTTCCGCCCTCCATCCACACCATCCTCGAGCCACCATCTATGTCTCGCCTGACCACGACCTCACAAAGGCGCGTGGCGACGCCCCCTCGGCCTCGCAGGGCCAGATCACTTTCCTGGTCGTAAAAGCTTGGCGCTACGAGAGGACCAAAGTGGTGAAGGTGGCACTCTCTCCTACGACGCGTGCGCACAATGCCGGACCCGCTAAACGCCTGTGGGGACCCAGAGATCTATTGTGATAGTTTCCGCATCGATCTCACCTCCGAGAGTTTTGGTCAATGCAAGTGCGGTTTCAAGAACGCGGACCACCCGGTGAAGATGAAAGACGTTGAAGTGGAGGCGCCAGCGCCAGCGCCAGCCCCAGCCCCTGCCGCAGATCAGATGGATTCGGCAGCTGCAGCCCAACCGCCGGCTGCGCCTCCTGCTGTCGCTACGCCAGCGGGCACTTCCAGCCAGCCTAACGGCTCCTTCCTGAGCAAGTGCTGTCCATGCCTCGGCGGAGGGTCGAGCAGTGTGCCAAAGCGAGTGTCTCGGCTGAGCGTTCCAAAAAAGCCGACCATCTGCGGCTCCCTCGTTTACGACGACTCTGCCCAGGGAACGCTTCAGCTGCACTACACACGTGATGCGCCCGTCGAGGGTGCTCTCGCATTCTTCGAGACGGAGGACGCGGTGCCTGAATTCAAGCTCAATAGCAACTGCGGCCGGTCGGACATCATAAAGGGAGTGGGTGGGCCGAACCCAAGGAAGTACTACGAGGGATGGAGCCAATTTGTCAAGCTAGCGCAAGGATGGACGGGAGACTTCACCCACCTGGCCAACAAGGACGCAAAGCCGGTCGCTCTCTATATCACCGACGAAAATATCAAGGTAACGCGCGTCAAGCTAGATGAGCCGATCG